GGGCAGGGGACTGGGGAGGCCGTGAGTGCTGCTGAGGACGCGTGCGTGTTGGGGGCTGGCAGCAGAGCTGGGGCGGAGGGTCTGAGGTGGTGACAGCAACCATGGGGCACTTGAGACTGGGCTGGGAAGCACCAAAGAGGTGTTTGCTCCCCAAGATGGAAACAAATTACCTGCCCCTGGCACGGGCTGTTTGGGCTGTGGGTTTCTGGAGCTTTGCCTTTCCGCCCATGTTTGGCCCTCGGTTTAGTTTCCTGATGTTCCGGCGGCCCTGAGCCACGCCTGGGCTATCGTGTGGCTGCGTGAGGGGTTTTGCAGGCAAAATGGGTGCAGATAAGAGATGGTGGCACCAGCTGGAGGGTAAGCCAGGTTAAACTGGGGTTCAGTTTAGAGATCTAGGCGTTCAGCACTGGATTGTTTGAAGGCTGGGGAGCTTGAATCAATGCTGAGGCCTTAAACCTGCCGCCTTTACACCACTGTGAAATGGTGGTGGAGGGCTGGTCAGGCCGTCGTCTGGAGTCAGGCATGGGGCGAAGCAGGTGTTGGTCAGATGCAGGATCCAGCTTTCTGTGTCTTCTTGGGCTGAAGAGGCTCGTTTTTCTGGTTATGATGGTTCCTTAGTCTCATCTAATCGTATTTTTGGTTCAGTCTACATTTAAATGTCAAGCCAATGCTTATAGCATTAAGCATTGCCAGAGCTTCTGGAGAGATTCCTCTGTTTCACGTCTGCTTGTTTGCTGGGGGTGGAAGAGAAGCATTTTGCTGTCAGCTTGGGCACTTCTTACCTGTTTCTACCTTAGTAAGTGCTGGATGCAGAAGAGTAGTAAGGAGGGGGCAATCTGATGTGGATTTTCTCCTAAAAACACAAGGATGTTCATAATTTATCTTGGGTTTCTTCAGTTTAGATTTGGAGCTGGCATTTTCTTGAGTTATTTAAAACACTGCTATTTGTATATCTGGGTGGTTTTGTTATTGGCCTTCATCTGGGACTCGCTGTAAACCATGAGGAGTTTGCTTAGTGGATGAGATAATACTCAGCACTCCTGCTAGCAGGCTGTCTCTGAACGATGTGCGAAGCAAGCTCTGACATACATAAAGCAAAAATCTGTGTGCTTGTGAGGAAAAAGCTTTCTCCTGGGTTGCCCTTGGAATATGGTAATTTGCTTTTTGACCCAAGTCAGATCTCATTTGCATCTATCAAAGCAGGTTGTAAATACATGTGCTGTTCTTAGCCTTCTCTGAGTGTTTCTAGGATTCTTAGTCTTTCCAAGTATGTGATGGGAAGTTAGAAAGACAGCAAAAATGTCCTGCTTTTGGGTTTAAAGATTATCTCTGAAATTCAGCAAGGTTTCTTCCTCTGTGTAGCTTTATGCAACCGGGATGATGTGTATGGTGGGTTTTTTCCCTCCTGGATGTTCTTTATAATCTGCTGCTCTGGCCACTGTTAAAACAATACTGGACTAGCTTGGCTGGGAGCGATGACCCAGCTCGACAAATCCACATATAATGCAAACAAACAGTGAGACTATGTTCAATGCCTTTTGCGTGGCACCATGCCAAATATTCTCATAAAGGAAAACATTTAAGTCATCTTCGACGCTGGGCTCAAATCCGAAGGACTGTGTCAGCAATAATATTGCAGCTGAACATGGGCCATGATTTTAATTGGAAAACAAGACCCACAACAGCTGCTTTTGTGATGATGTGATGTCGTACTTTGTTTTGCTGGCAAGACTGCGATGTTGTGGCTCGCGCAGCTTTCCCAACGCAGCCTCTGTTTTGGAAGGAGGGCAAACCTCTCCTGCAGGAGGAAGGCACTTCCGGAGCTGTCCCCAAGCATAGTTTGCTTTCCAGCTTGGAGCAGGGAGAAATCAAACCAAACCCAGTCGTACCAGCTAACTGGGATGAGGCGGGAACCGCGGAGGCACAGGGCAGGGAGGGCTCCGGGAATCTGGGCTAGGCAACAGGTTGTTTCTCGTCTGGTTGGTTGGCAGCGGGAACAGATTACAACTGCTCTGCACTGCCATGCTGTAGAGCACGCTGAAGGTGGCAGGAATTGTAGCGCTACCCCTCGCTGCTGCTGCTGGGAATTTAACTGCCGAGGTAGTAACTGATCGAGGGGGAGGTGAGTGGGGGGGGGAAAAGGAGTGGTGATGCTGTTGGGGTTGGTTAAGGGATGAGGAAGGAAGTGCTAAGAAACTGCAAGCTGGTTGCGCTGCTGGGCAGTGTCTTGGAGTTCAAAGCTACGCTTGTCCTTTTGTTGCTGAGCCAGCAAGACCTTTGAGGCTGAGAGGCAGTGTTTAGGGAAGAGATGGCTTGCTGCTCAGCTGGTAGCATTTAAGGTCATGGGTCATGTACAAGAGAAGGGGATTTTGGGGAAAAAAAAAAAAGAGGAAATAGGTAGGAAAACCCTTTATTGGGATGGTTTTAGGGTCATAGGTTCTGTTTCATCAAAGACAACAGAACTGCCCACTCTTATGCTTGGTTTTCAGCCAGGGTTTGAAAACTGTTTGAGTCATGATTGTCACAGAGCTGGCAATTATAAGAATAAAATGATGGCTATCCATGCATTTGGGCAATCCCTGTATTCTAAGTTGTTAATAACTTGGTTCCGTGGAGCAAGAAAAGTGCTGGTGGGACCATTCTCTGGGCTCTGCTGAGCACTTCCTGGCCCAGCGGTGTTTTTCGGTCCTGTCCCGAGAATGCGATGTGGCACTGAAATAATAAGCTTGCGTGTGTGTCAGAGGTGGAATGTCAGATCTTGGCAGAGAAAGATTTCAATTTCAAGCTTGGCAGAACTGAGAAGTAATGGCTTTTCTTTTCAAAAAACCTGCTTTGCATCTCCTGGGAACAAAAGAAGGGAAAGGAATGAAAGGGCCTCGGGGTGGGTATTGCAAGTAGGGTTACTTGTCCCTTCCATCAAGAAGATGCAACACAGGGAAGTATCGTTAGGGGGAGGTGACAGTTTCCTTTGTCTGAAACATGGACTTCTCTGCATCCGGTGGAGATGTTAAATATGCAGTGCTGTTTTGGGGAAAAGAAACTGTGTGCCAACGGGAAAGACTGCGGCAGAACATGCCAAGATCTGCTGATTATAAGGAGTTAAAACCCGCCTTTTCCCTTCTGAGATTGAGAATTTAAAAAGTTGGGCTGAGCACCACTGCTTTCCTAGCCCATCCGCCTCAGGCTGTTGTGTTTTCACTCACACTGTTCATCTGGGCCTTTTAAATGCCTGGGCTTGCCAAGTAATAGCAGCAGCAGGTGGAGAATGAAGGTCATGAAAGTGGGTAAAGCCTTTGCTGCTTCCCATAAGTTGTGGGCTCAGCAGCTGTCCTCTCTTGGAGTTCCTGCCTTGCAAACTGGGTGTTGGCAGCTCCGAATGCTGTTTGACTGCTTGTTTTTTACTACATTTCTCAGGTGTTTCAAGGAACTGGAACCATGACGGACTCCAAATACTTCACGACCAATAAAAAAGGTTAGTGTTAAGCTGGTGCACTGGATTGCAGGTGATGGGTGGCTATTTTTACACAGCTTTAACTGCGTGCAGAAGAACTTGTGCTTTTCTGTGAGCTCTGTCCCTGATTCTTGTTTTAATCATCTAGGGAGACACTTTGAAAGTAGGTCACATGGTAACAAAAGGCAAAACTAATGTATTATATGACTGTGATGCACAAAATGACCCAAATTGCTGCTCTTTCAAGGATCAGAGAACAAAACACTGGGACTTGAGTACAGATCTGGTCAGAGACAAAGTTTTAATTGTGGGCTGACAAGTTCAGGACAGGATGCTTGTTCAGTTGGGCATCACATGAGTAAGTTGATTGAGAGACATTTAATATTTAAAGAATAAATGTATGTCTCTAAGTCAAGCTATTGCAAAGAAAATGGGATTTCCTATTGGTATTTCCTCCAAAGCTGCAGTGCTCTGTTTTGACTTTCCTTTTCTTCCCTTACCCATTCACCTGTTCCAGAGCAGGGCCTGTTCTGCTGAAACTGCCTCAGGCAGATTTTGTTTTCTGACCTGTTCTTAGACAAAACACTGTTGCTGATTGCAGTTTAAGCCAGATATTGCTCATCCTCCAGTAGATGTGGAATGTGGTTTGCATTAATCTCTTCTTTCCAGGGCGGTTGAAAGTTTGTGATGAATGCTTGCCAGTGAAAAAACTACAGTGTTGATCTATTTATGTTCAATTAAGCTTCAGAGTGAGCTCATAAATTAAGCAAATGCAGCTTATTTCTTTCAGAGGAACAACTCTGCCTGTAAGTTCAGTCCTAAGGCATCAGGCAGATTTTTCTGGGATGGCTGCAAGAGGCCAGCCTGTGCTGTCCAGGCTCTAGTGAGCGTGCTGCTGCTGGCTCAGCTCTGCTCCGGGCACCATCTCGGTGTGAGTAATGTGAGCATCTTTCTTGGGCAGGAGGTAGGACAAGAGGTCATGGCGCTGTGTTCTTCACAACAGTGATTTCTCTTCTTTCAAGTACCTTTTAGTCTTTTTGTGCCAGTAATTAGTGCTGCTGATCTGACAAACTGGCTTTGGTGTACAGGAGTTGATGGTTAGGGGCTAGAATGTATTTTGTCAGAGATATTTTGATATTTGTAATGTGTCCTCAGCCAGTGGCTTCCAGTAGGAATATTGCTTGCTGTCCTTCTGGGGAAGCTATCTGTCAGTAGGAAGCATTATCCTTCTCATACCACTTGCTCTGTCCAGAACAGGCCTGATAAGCTGTCTTTTGTGGGTGTCACTTTATTTTCCAAACTTGCTTTGCCACTCTCATGACCCAGCTGGAACTGACTTTCCGCGCAGTGGTGTCTGGAACAATTCGTGCCATGGAAGAGGCTGCTTTGGCAACCTCAGGATCTAGACGAGCTGTGTTACTTCCTGCTTTTGTTAATAGCGGCTCTGTCTTTCTAGCTTGGAAGGAATTTATTCACCAGACTAAATCTGTGCTTTACTGTTTCTGCCACTGTGTATCACAGCATTTGGGCTACACTGCAGTCTGCTGTTTTCTCATTGCATTTGCAGGAAGCAGGCGATGATGAGCAAAAGTTAAAAAGTCTGGGCAGAATTCCTAGCTAAATTAGGGTTTTTTTTCCTTGCAGGCACTAATCTGGCATCTCCAAATATCTTTTCATCCTGCTTATATAATGGTTGCCTCTGAGAAACAGACGCTACAGTGATGTGATTTAATGTTCTAGAAGTGGGAGAGCTGCAACATGCAGCGTGGTTCTTGTTAACTGTTTTTTCATTAGCAAGGTATAGCTCACTCTGAGTGTCACAGCTTTTCTTCTCACTGAACCGTGTTTTCCATAAGGTCTGGCAGCTTCCATGTGCTGTTGTGCCAGTTTTATGGGCCAGAAAAGTAAAAAGTCACTTCTGAGCTATCCCTAAAGCCTGACCCCTCTCTTCTCCCAAGAGGCTCAATCTGTTTTATCTTCTGCCAGGAGAGATTTTTGAACTGAAGGCTGAACTCAATAATGAAAAGAAAGAGAAGAGGAAAGAAGCTGTAAAGAAGGTTATTGCAGCCATGACCGTGGGGAAGGATGTCAGGTAAAAGCAACTTCCCTGTCACCTGTAGCAGCTCTGGCTCTCCTGTGACTCAGTTGGATGTGGTGGCACACATCGCGATGGAACGACTCCAAGTTTGTCATCCTAGCTGGGTAGCGAGGCTGGCTGCATCCTTGCCTGCACTACGCTTGAGTCACAGGCTTCTCAAGCTCCTTCCTGTTACTGGAAGCAAAAGAAACAACAGCTTTCAGTGCTGGTTTATGTAGGTGCCTGTTAGCCCTTCTTATTTAAAAACCCATCTATAATTCAACCATTTTGTATACCACTTGGGTTGAGGTTTTCTCACTGCTTTCTAGCCTGGGTTTTAGTGTTAGAAAGGCCATTCCCAGTGTTTTTCTTAGCCTTACTTGTCATAGCATAAATTTAAGCTACACTTTAAAATGAGTGTTTTTTAAACTGAACCTTTGCCTCCTAGTGACTGAAGGACACAGTCGTTTACCTTCTGCAACACTGCCCCTGCTACTTTTTTTTTTTCTTTTGAAGTAACCAAATATATAGAGATGTATATTACAATTTGGCAGGTTCTTTGTAAATGTCCTGCATTACCAAAACATTTTTAAGCAGCCTTTTTTTCTTTTCATTTCCAGGCCTGGCATGGTAGAATTCTTGTTCAGTGAAATCCCCAATTAAAACACTTTTAGGAGATTGTATTAGCTTTCACCTGTCCCAGAAGCAACCAGTGTTAAAGCCCTAGAAGAGTTTAAATGATTAAGCTATTACAACAGCCATTGCAACCTGTTTTGAGGGGGAAGTTGACCTCTCATTAGACAGTGGGATACTTAAAGTGGAGCTCCAGTTTTCCTGTCTTCCTTGACATTGTTACTATCCCCTTCGTATACCATGTAATCTCACTGCTTTCTCTCTACTCCTGCTCACTGTTGGCTACCCAGCTCACTAAAAATGTTGTGAACTGCATGCAGACCGACAACTTGGAGTTGAAGAAGCTGGTCTACCTGTACCTGATGAACTATGCCAAAAGTCAGCCAGATATGGCCATTATGGCTGTCAACAGCTTTGTGAAGGTAATTCGCTCCCTCAGCTCATCAGAACATGGCTCAGCGTGGCTGTCACCTTTGTCTGTTAGCCCTTCTGAGCCGCTGTTTATCCCTGCGTTTGTTCTTGAGTATCTGGGTTGGGGGTGCTTGTAGAGGAGCAGAAAATAAAGAGCTGGCATGCTGAACCCAGCAGGTCTCGGTCCTCTCACTGCTGCTAGTTATTGCAGAGGAGATGACTTAAGTGCCTCTGAAAGTGGTTATGAGAGAACCTGCTCCAGGAAAAGCTGCTTCTATCGTTTTAATTTTCATTGAAGGCCAACTTCTGGTGTTGGATAACAGAATTCATATTTTTCATCTTCCAGCCTCTGTAGTATCTCTGTTATGCGGATATCTACTACTTGTTTGAATGTTTCAGCTTTGCTCTGCATGAGAAAACTGTTATCTCTGGTGAAACTGGAAGTTGATTCACTGGAAAAGTAACAGCCCAACCGCTGTAGTGCCTTTAATTCTGTTGTCAAGTTGTCTCTCCTTATCTAGGAAATGTTATTTCAGTCCCATGTTACGTAAGTTAAAACCTGGTGCTTAGAGAAAGTTTAAGATTTCCCCTAGAGCGTTATAAAATCTGAGACACTGGGGAATCTGTTTAAGTTTCAAAGCATGGTGCCTGAGGCGGAAAGAGGTGAGGGAATCTATGCGGAGAGCAGCTCTGCTCTTCTGGCCAGAGATGCATCTCCCTCCCTCTCTGGAAGAATACTGTTGTCTGTCATGTATTTTAAAGTGTAATTCTGTTAGAATGGACTAACAGAAAAACCATGATACTTTCAGCGTCATGCTTTTCCGTGCAAGGAAGTGTCTGATGTCCCTTTTGGCAAGTTGAGGGACAAGTGTTAGTGAAGAGACAGTGTTGACGCTAGTCTGCGCTAGCTCAGCGTGTCGCACGCCGCCGACAGTTCAGGGTGTTGAACGCGCTGGTGAGAGATGTCACTTCTCTTGATGTGTCAAGGGGTGCATTCGGGTGTTTTTTCAGCTGTAGGAAATTTAAACAGCGAAAGGTAAATGTATGCTTTTGCAGGTCATCCTGCATCCATCCTTTTATAGGCTGATTTTGGAGGAATGTTGCCCGGAGATGTAGATTGATTGGCTGTGTGGAAAATTACACAGGCTTGAAGTACAATGTTAGCTTCCCTTCTGGTTATTTTTTTTTTTCCTCACCAGAATAGCACCTCTAGAGTAGCCTTTGCCTAGTGCTTCTTAGGTTGCAGACTTGAGGGATGCTTTTGTCTAGAACTGATGGCCTGTGAGGAAATAGACCTTGGTGACTATTGCATTGTGTTTAATTGTTGACTTTTTGCCGTTACATTCTCTTTCTCCTTTAAACCAGTAAGGCTGGAAGCTAGTCTTTCATTCTATCTGAAAGTTGCCTGTGGCTAGCTTTTGGGTGGTGAGAGCTGCCTCTCTAGCTTAGCTGTACTTTGGATTTGGCTGCTAGATCATGTTGAAAGAAGCTTTGCCTGGGGAGAACCAAGGGACACAGAGATCACAGTTTCACTATTTTACAAGCTGTCATAGCCTGAAAACATCTTGAGATGGTGTAGAATGTTTCTGTGAACCAGTAAGTTCCACCTTTTAGCCCTGATCTAAAATAAAAAAAATACTCTTTTTTAGCCTGTAATCAGAGAGAAGGCTTTTTCTTTGAAATAAGAACAGCCTGAAGATATCAGTGGCTAAAGATGTGGATTTGTTTGCTGCATATTCTGTCCTGTTGCAGGACTGTGAAGACCCAAACCCTCTCATCCGTGCTCTGGCCGTCCGTACAATGGGATGCATCCGGGTGGACAAGATCACGGAGTATTTGTGTGAGCCTCTTCGCAAGTGTCTGAAGGATGAAGACCCTTACGTACGAAAGACCGCAGCTGTCTGCGTGGCAAAGCTGCATGACATTAATGCCCAGATGGTGGAAGACCAAGGATTTCTGGATTCTCTGCGTGACCTGATTGCAGACTCCAACCCCATGGTAATGTGTATGTCTTCCTAGCATGTTGCTTGGGTTTGTAATGGGCAGATAATCAGAAACATGAAGGCTTTTTAATTGCAATTGATGCACTCTGGTGAATGCATAGGTTAGAGAACACTTGTTGCCTCAGAAAATAGGAAGAACCTTTTATTCTTAGGTCTGTTCGTGCTTTTGCCTCTCTTGAGTGCTGCAGCAAAAGTTTGACTTCCTGGTCAGATGAGTCAGAAGGGGAAGGCATTTGTGATGCTGCTACCTTGGTGACACCCTGTAGCTGTTGCCGTCCTGCGGGCTTTAGCTGCTCTTGGAGTGAGAGGTTGGATGAATCCATTCACTAATGCAGTGAATCCACTGGCTTGTAAATGAGTAGGGAAATTGTGGAGTTTTTTATAAAGGTAAATCAGTCGTCAGAGGTATAGGTGGAGATCAAGGTAAGGTGTTTCTCCATGATCAGGTGGAATGCAGGCCCTGCCTTTGAGCTCCTTTTAAGTAAAATGTATGTATTGGTATTGAGTATTAAAAGAAAGAATGCTGAAAAGAATGGTACAGATAGATCCAGCCTTATGGCCTGTTCCTCTGTAAATGGTGCATCTCCATCACTGCAACCTGTTATCTAAACTCATTCATATTAATACAACTATAAATGTTTCTCCTCTTCTGATGACTTGTGGAAATGGGCAGCATTAGACACTTAATGAAGCAGAATTGTTTAGATGGGAAATCCACGCTTGTTCTTTCTTCTGAGAAATGAGGATTTTGCCAAGAGCTAAAAAAACTCCCGTTGAAAAATAGTCTTTGAGAAAGCTTTTATTACGGTTTTGTAATTGGCTGCCTTTAGCACATGAGCAGGCGCTAACCGTTCTAGCTCGGTAGAGTAACAACTCCATCTGTGGCTTGCTAATTGCCTTGTGACTCTGCAGAGATCAGAGTGCGTGTTTCTATCAGCTCAAATCATCCTCATCATAAAGATGTTTGACTAAGCTGGAGGTGACCTTGTCAGAAACCTCACCCTTTCCCTCATATTTTTGGACTCCCAGTTTGTTATCGTAGTATCATGCAGAGACTTCGGGCATTGCTGTGGAGTCCTGTTGAGGTGCTGTAGGTGCACAGCCAAGCTGCTTTTCCTCTTTATCTGGGCTTTTTGTTGTCAGGATCTGGCCTTCATTCACATACAGTAATACAGATGGTCTTTTGAACAGGGGTAGGAGTGCGTCCTTCCGGGTGAGCTGGCTGTAGTCGTGCTTAAAGGGTCTGGCGGTTCCCTAGTTTTTTCTGAAAAATCTCTGGTAGCTTTGCAGTTTCTCCTGAAGGAATTAATGAAAACTTGTTATTGCATATGTACTGATACGGATTTATGTATCGAGTTACCAGATGGGTTGGTGGCTTTTCAGCTGAGTTATCTGAGATGTCTTACCCTGTGCAGGCAATGGGCCAATGATGTGTACAAGGGCATGGTTCAGTTACTGGGTGGTGACACTGCAGAAGTTTGATTGTGGCTGGAGTCTCTAATCTCATGTCACAGATGGGCCTGAAGTGCTTGTGGCTGCCCTCTGTCCCTTGAGATCATAGAGGAACCCTCATTTCTTCCCAGAGCTGTCTTAAGGCAAATGCTTCCCCTATTTTGCTCTGCATTTCTTTGAGTGTAAAGCTCAGCAGAACCAGGTCTGGGTTGTATATAAAGCTGTCAGCATGCTGCTGGGTTTATTCAGTTGAAAGGACCTTTCTTGCTGGTAACTTTGGGATAGCACAACTCAGAAAGCATGTCTTCACGTAATCCTCATGTTCTAACAAAATACAGGTTCAGGATAACGTCTCAGAATTTTTGTGTGTTCCTGCTTGTACTTGGGAGGGACAGATCACCACAGAACATGGCTGACATCCAACACTAACAGTAGGTCATAGTGGGGTGAGTGAGGTGGGTCTGTTACACATCTACAGATGGCCAGAGGCTGCCTGAAGTCTTGGACAAACTTTTTAAAAAATTTTTCTGATACTGCCTTGCGCTGACAGTTGTGAATGAGACCTGGTGTCAGCTCACGGTTGGAGCGTTGGGTGCTGAGCCCTGGTGCTGCAGAGCACACCACGAGATGGCAGCAGTTCAGAGCAGAACCAAAGCTGGTGATAGACACCTTCGTTTGTGACTGGTTCCCTCCTGGCTTTTATCACTGCTCGTTTTCTTCAGGAAGGTAAATATTAGCAGAAAAGCATAAGAGGAAGTCCATCTTAAGCATTTCTTGTCTTTCAATATTTGAATGGAACAACCTTTCTCTCTCCAAATATTTCCAATCCTTGACCTTCAAGGGTAACTCTTAACCCATGGAATAATTTTCTTGTCAAACTACCTGTTATCCACATGGCTTAGGTTAGGTTGATGTCACCTTCTCCCAGTTCTTTTCTAGGTGCTGTTGGATTTTTAGTTCCTTCTTGTAGCATTTCTTCCTCATGCTTTGCCTGGTCACTGATGTGCTGGATCAAAGCTCTCACAGGTGTGGCTGTTCTGCTCCCATTTTTTTTGTGGGCTGTATAGACGTAGCACTTATGTGCTGTCCAATAATAGGACGTGTTTTACACCATCTGTACATCACAGTTTACTGGGAGAAATACTGCTGTGAATCGATGCAGAGTAAACTGAGATCACATCACAAGCTGATTAGTAAATAAACCTTGTGTAGAATGTATTCAAACTCTCTTGTTGTGCCTGGGTGTTTCTGCCTCTAGCATTTAATAACCTGCGCTAAGAAGGGAATCTATTGAGCCCTGACAACTAGAGGTGGTGAGGTCTGTCTTCATCCAATCAGAATTCCCTGCAGCAGTATTGAGTTTCTATAGTTCACAGACTAGATTAAAAACCTATTGATACAGATCACAGTGCTTTCTTGTCTCTCCTGCTGTGACTGCAAGCCGTCTAGGTTCCTTCACTGCCAGCCAGAACCTCAGAGTGTATGTTTGGGCTTCCTGGATGATCTTATGGAGGAAGAAGCTCCTCATTTTGTTCCTTCTGTTCTCTTTCTGAGATCACGTCCTGAGGAATAAGCCTGTTTAGAAACAGGAGCAGCTTTTCCCCCCTGGGCTGTCCTCTACTGCGTACTTTGTAGGAGTTCTATCTCTTTCTGTGTAATAGAGTTGACAAATGAACCCCTTGCTGACAAACTGTTGGTGATCCTCTGAGTCCCAGCAGGACTTTGTGGGAGGCAGTCTGGGCCATGGAACTCCTCTTGTACAACTGAGGGTGGAACATCACCTTCCTGGTCGCAGGAAAGCACTTATTACTCCTGGGGGGACTTGGACTTCTCACAGCGGTGTGCTTTATTCCCCTCTGTAGCAGATGTTTTATCTCGTACCAGGAGCAAACCACCACAGCTTGGTGAGTGTGTGATTTTTGCTCATGAAGGTTGCAAGGACTTGAAAATTCACATCCTAGTATGGACCTGAACACTGCTGGGAGCTGTGGGCTGTGCCTTTGCAGCACGTTGTCAGCCCGGGGCTGCCTCACCGGCTGTAGTGTTCTGTTCAGCCTCGGTGTTGCAGAATGAAAGATGTATCTTGAAGTCCCCCATCCATGTCTGTGGTGGTTTGTGGGTGGTTTGGCTTTTTTAATCTTTTTGTGCTGCAGGTGGAGATAATATTTCCTTCTGGGAGACACCTGATGGCATTTGTAGGCATCGGTAGGTGGAATTTGTTTACCTGGTGTTGGATATGTTACAGTGAATGAGACTGGTGCTTAGGGGCTGATAAAGAGGCGGGGGCTTCAGTTTGGGGCTCTTTATAGGGCGTTCCTGCAGTTTACATGAGGTTGCCCAGGAGAGAGAGCATCGCTTTTTGCCAAGTAAGCAGGCAGCTAGCAGTAGCAAGCTGGGAGTAAAATAGGCAGAGGTTGTGGAGGAGACTGTATACAACAGGGTTATGTTAATGTATGTGGTGGGCTGATGAACAGCGGCGATGTGGGAGACTGCCAGGGGAGTTCAGAAGCCAGCTTGTGTGTCTGTGTTCCAGCAGCCAGGCTGCAAAGTTCTACACAGCTGGGGGAAGGTAGGTCTGCCATCTGTAACCGATGGCACAGCTTCTGGGTGGCCACTCTGACCCCATGTGCTCTGCCTGTGAAACCCAGTTTAGGCTTCGGGCTGAGCTCCTGCAACTGCTTCTCCAGCGGAAGGCTGGAGCCCGACTCGCTGAGTAGCTGTTTTTTCTCCAGGTTGTCATCCTGAACAGGTCTGAGGGGATTCAAAGCTTGTATGTGGGACCTGGTTTTATTTCTTTTTTTGGTTGGTTTGGTTTTGGTAGGCTTGCGGATGAGTCTTGAGCACTACCTGTAGGAGCTGTGCCTTTCCCTGCCTCTTGAATATTAGCAGTCTGGCTGAAAGCTGCAATGAGTTTGATAATGCAAAAACTTACGTGGCTTTGCTAAGTCTGTCCTCCCAGACCCCTCATTTATAAAGTTTGATGGACAAATTCATCCATCAGAGACCTGTCTCTTTCCAATTACTGCTACCAGTATGTGTCTAATTTCCTAAGTGTTAGTCTTGCCAAATAGATCATTCCAGGATCTCTAATATTAATCAGAATGCTGGGGAATTTTGTTGACATGTGTCTAGATGTTACATTTTCAATCGGAACAGACACTTCTAGCTATTGACAAGCACCATTTGTCACAAAACGCTGTGGCTGTGATGTTTTGTAACTCCACACCCCCTTCCTAGGGCTACTAAGGTTTTTGTTGATGCTTAGCTGGTGCCTTTCTTCTGAATAGCTGCTTGGATCAGCCACAGCCGTTTACCACTGGATGGTGCCAGTGAGAACCTCTGCAAGGAAAATGGCAAAGGGCCTTACAAAAAACAACTGCAAAAGAAACCTTGCCAGTGTGTGATTGGTGCCAGACTGGGATCAGACCACAGTGCTTTCTGGAAGCAGCATCCAGGGTTCCAGACCCTCGGTGGCTTTCTTGTTGAGCTTGGTTGCCTGCACTGGAGGGCTGAGCTGTACCAAGGAGAACCTTTGTGATGGAG